CCACAGACATGACTGTAACCCTATTTCCTTAGACTCTGCCAGCAAAAAAGTAAATGTACCTGCACTGGCTGGCATAAACCCCAGACACACTACTGATCATAAAGTATATGTAGCAGAAAGCAAGGTTGTTTTGTTTGTATCATTTGTGAGGACATGTATTTTCATATCTATGATATCTCCCTTCCAGTGATGTTGGGATATAAATCATTCTTGAGCACCTTTATCGTCATCAGGTTGACAAACATCTCATTTACAAGTGTCTAGCTCAAAGAGCCTCTAATTCCATCACAGTCAAATATCTAGTTTGCAGGGAGTCATGTGATGAGACCTGTTATTTCTGGCCTTCTCTCCACAGATTGATGGTCATTCTTAATATTTCTCATTTATCTTGTACAGCAACAAAAAATAATCTTGGTTCCCACTGGTGGCACATATCACCGATATTCTGGACTTTGGAGCCTTTTAGTGTTAGAATCCTGGAAGCTAATTAAATTGGAAGTGTAACAGGGTAGAGCAGGTGAGGAGGAAGGAGAAAAAAAAGAACCAATCAAGTAGTCCTTCCCAACTGTAATAAAGGTACATTTTGTACAAAAATGGCTCAAATGGCTGCCTCGAAACCTTTAAGAATTAGGGCATAAGTCAATAAAATTTAAAAAGGCAAAGGTTGAAAGCCTCAAAACAGGATGATCTGTACAAGACCTCTTTAATGCTATTCAGGTCAAAAAGAGAATTGGAGAGGGAATCCAGAGTTAAGAAGCAGGAGCAATAATGAACTCTGGAAAGGGTAATAAACACTAAGATTGCTAAATAATAGGTTAGTTAAGTATTGAAAGTTCTATTTAGAGGCAGGAAAATAAAATAATCCCATATGCTTGCAGATATACCCTATTACTGATGATCAACAGTATCATAATTAACTTTCTAAAGACAAATAATCCTGTCCTTTATCAAAGGACATTACTGCTCATCAAGGAAAGGTCTAGTTCTACAAAGCTGAATAATTTAAAGTTCTCTAGCATACCAAGAACTAAAAATAAACCAAAAGGAAAGGGGGGGAAAGATACTTACCAGACTATCTAGTCCTCCTCCCAAGAGATCCACTGCTCCCATCTGCATGGAGGATACCTGTGGCACATTGACTGGGGGACCAAGGTCAAGGTTTAAAAGATCCCCCAGAAGGTCACCTTGAGAGGGGATAACCTGAGGCTGTTCCAGGTTGGTTGCAGTGGTGGTACCAACAGGGCTGTCACCTGCATCAGTGCTGTTGTCACATAGACACAAAGAGGAGAAAAGAAAAAAGTCAGTTTCACCTACGATATAACAATAAGGCAACAAATGGATGTCAAACATATAACTATGAATACAAAACACAAGAGGAAAAAATCCTCTTATTTTATCACCATTTGCGCATGTTCATGAAGAGATCACAGCAATTCTTGTTCTCATCAAAACACAGTTGTTAAAATGAAAACAAATTATATTATCTAACCTCATCAGCAGTCAGTCAATTTTAATTGAATATCTATGAGGGAACACTGTAAGGAGCATTCCATGGTACTCTGTAGAAACTGTAAGGGGAAATATACGATTCCTACCCTCAAATAACTTATGCACTAACAAAAAAAATCAGCGTTTACAAAATGACTGAAAAGCAAGTTTACTGTGTAACAGCAGAAACAAGCATTGTGCGTCTGCATACTAACAGAGTATAGGAGAGAAGGAAAACAAAACTGGGGGTGCTGATTCTATGAGCTTCTCAGAATGGTCTTATGAGACCTCCAAAGATGGGGGATAGCTTGTGCAAAGGCACAAAAATGAATAATTTGACTTTAGGGGTGGCAAAAAAGTTATACCCGCAGGAATAGAGATTGTGTGTGGTAAGATTTTGGGGAAGAGAGGATGAGGGAAGAGGAACTCTGAAAATCAGTATGGAGAGTTAATTTTTGATATGCTAGGAAATACAGAATCACTTATTTCTTGAACAAAGAAGAAAAACTAAAAATAACATTACAGGAACATTATTCTAGCAGTGGTGTGTATAATGGACTGAAATTAGGAGAATGGACATGAAGATCAGCTAAGAGTAACCTAAACTGCTACTATCATCAACTATATATGTAATAATAAAAGCCCAACAAGCTGTAAAAACAAAAACAAAGTGGTGAGTTCCAAGAGATATTAAAAGGACTAGCAGGAGCAATGATGATCTTTTCCATAAGTGGTGCTGGGTCAACTGGATAGCCAGCTGTATGGGAAAAAAAATTAACCTTAACCTCTATATCTCACAACTTAAAGAAAAATTGAGATATATCAGACATAAATGTGAAGGGTAAAACCTAGCTGAAAATCTAGAATAGCATCTTTACAACTTTGGAATAGATAACTGTTTCAACAAAAGGCACTAACCATGAAAGAAAAAAATTGATAAACTGGACTTTCATTAAAATTAAGAACATTAGAATTAAGAACTTTTTAAGAGACACAGGACATGTGCCATTCAGACAATGTGACAGAACACATGGATTTATCAGTACTTCTAAATAGAAGATAGAATAGGTATCAATGCACATATTTTTCTTATGAGAAGATAAAGTGAGTTAGATGAAAAGAAGTAAATGACCCTGTAGATTTTATAAGTTAAAGAACACGATATATCATTAGGGTACATTCTTCCTAAACAGAAATACAAGAAATATGAAAACATTTCCCATTGTGAACTCATGGGAAATAACTACATAACGGTCATCAAAGCAATATTTTTAAAAGGTTGAGATTTTCCAAATTAGATAACTGTTTACCACCTCACCCCCATAGAGCAGCTGACAAGTATAAGCACAGTAAGTAAGTAATACCCAAGTAAAAAGCACTTTTCTCTTTCCCAAGTGACTTTAAAAGACCTAGTGAAGTAAGCATTTCTAAATCTCTAGAAACGGCAGAATAAGGTTTTAAAGTGTTCATTTCATATCACTTAACCTTATGCTGCAGAAAAGAGCTAGGTAATGTCAATAGTATTACAGACATGCCATTTGCAGCAATGTATCATTCCTATTTATATCAAAGGGATTTTCCCTATATTTGTATTTCCTTTTAAAAACACAAAACATGTACAAATGGACTAACGGAGGTTAACCAAAAAGGAACTTCACAATAAGGAATTGTGAAGTTAAGAAATTAAAGGCTACTACTCAGATAAAGACCTTACGTAGGAGACTGCGTTTCTTTTTGTTTAAATGCTGTTTCTCTTCTTGTGTTTAAGAAAGGGTTGTTTCTGTTTATTGATTTGTTTCATGTTCCCCTTCCCATTTGAGGATCAAAAGTTATCAGGAGAGAAGGCTAGATTAAATGGTACAGAGGCAAGTTACAACAGAAAATCCTTATCTATATCAAAACTTGAAGCAAAGACTGGGAGAAACTCTTAGAAGTTAAATAGTTGTATCTACACAACGTTGAACATGCTTGCCTACCAGGAGAAACACCGTAACTTATTATAAGGCCTAATCCTTATGAAACTACACATCTCTTTTGGGTTAAAATCACAGTACCTGCCCTAAAACCAAAAATTCAATTAAAGGTCACAAAAGATTAGTAATCATTTTCTTGCATGCTGCCCTTTCCTTTCTGTTTGGTTATGCCCACAGTCTGTTTAAATAGAGCCCAAAATACTGACTATACCAATCTCTAAAGCAATAAATCCTACACTCTGGCCACTCACAAACCACTTAAACAATAATACACATTAGATGGTGGTACAAGAATTGACCCATTAATGGAAGCCCAATTATTCTAACTACTCTGGGACCAAATTCTACTTAGATTTAAGGTTTATTATGATCGACGAAGGAATCAGATTCTGAAAGATTCTCAAATACCCATTTTAAGAGTTTTATTAGAGTACTTCTCCCTAATTAAAATTTTAAGATAGCTACAAAGCAAGAGCTCCATGTTACCTGAGAGCCTGTTTATAATCATTTCCTTAGTGATATGATCAATGTAACTGGGTAAAAACTTCGTCCACACAGAATTTAGGCTGTTTTTATAAAATGATCCTGCAAATATTATTTCATTAATAGCTTTATAGAATAAGAGAAGTTAGTAACTACTAACTTTATCCATAAGCCTCAACCAGAGCTACAGTAAAGCACAAAAACAGCTAAATGTACATATAGGCTTTTCCCTAAGTTTTCAATTCTGGGAATATTTCTAGCCTTTTCTTACTGGAAACTTAAGCACCTTCCAGACTTTATCAATTTAGAAGGTCTTATTCACCAAAATTTTGTAAAAATTGTACTCCTAGATTGGAATACAGAGGAGCCTTTCACCGATTGTATGTGTGGTCACTGGTATTCAGATGGAGCTCTCAAGAAAATATAGTAATAATAGTAGGTTTTAAAATGCACAGCAAGTTCTTTTCCAGGCTATAAAAGCATGAAGACGACCAACTCTAAACAAAGAGTCAAACCGAGTTCACACCTGCTTACCTTCCATGATGAATTGGCAAGTGTTTGCGATGGATTCCATGACTTCCTTCTACAAAAGCATTGGGGGGCTTATGGTACACAGAGGCCAAGGAACCAATGTGGCAGATGAGCTCATCCAGCAGAGTTGGCTCAATAAGGTCTGTCTCCTCAGAGATCAGTGGCTTCTCAGACAAGACTACTTCTTTGGCCGTGACAGGGTCAGTTGAGAGAAGGCGCCAATAAATATAGCCCCGGTCTCGAAGGTCAGGATTATCAGAATCCTAATGAAAAGGCAAAGGCAAGAAAGGTTTAGATGGAACAGTTCTCCATACAGAAATCCCAGCTGCTGGATTTATCATCAAGCCAGTGCTATAGTGATTCATGCAGATTGGCTATTAAGAAGGTATTTCATTTAGACTCAATATAGTTTTTATACAGTCATAATTCTATAATCTAATGTTTCAAGGAATTTAAATATAAATTGAGATAAGATGGTCCTAAGACTCAAATTCAATGTAAAGTTAGGAAAAGGAAAATAAAGTTTAATCTGGTAAAAGTTAACTGGTTGAGATGGCCTTGGGGCATAAAAATCATATTTTTAAAAACTGCTATAAATATTAGTGAGATTATTCTTAACATGTTATATCTTATATATATTTCGCCTATACTTTCTTTCTTCTTTCAAATGTTTATTAAGTATCTCCTATAGAGACACTGACTAGGCCCTGGAAATAAAAAAATAACAACACATAGTGCCTAGCTTTAAGGAACTCACAGAATATTAACTATTTCAATATAGTATGAGAGGTACTATTATCTAAATAACCAAAAACCGTTAAAGAAAGCGCATAACTAAGTGCTTCCAAAAGGGGTGACACTAGAATTTAGTGGTCTTGTTTTTTGTCATGGTGGTTTTTAAATAATTTTATAGATGCTCATGG